ACCCAAGAGAAAAAGAAAATCTATTTGTTGGTTAACATCTGATAAACATTACGTGTACTCTCAGCTGAAGTGAAGGAACATGCTGAACAATTCATACTAATCCATACAAAATACAGCATAAGCTAACCATAAAAGTGTTCCTATATTACTGTAAATGCAACATAGTTGTCCTCACAATTTGATTATGGAATCAATGGAAAAGCTGTTAAGCATGTGGATTGAACACCAATCACATCAAAACATTAAGTTAACAAGTAGTACAAAATAAAGGTTTAAAGCTGTATAATGTCCTGAAGTAAGACAACAGTAAGAGTGAGGTGATAACAATACAAGCAAGCCATGGAAGGTTTGATAGATTTAAGAAGCAATGTAAGTTACCTAATATTAAAGTTTCTGCAGCCAATGAAGAAAAAGGAGAAATTTTCCAAACGCCATTATCAAATTGATTCAAAATTAGGGTTACAGTGCAAAGTACAGTGAGTTCTGCTATAACGCGTGTTTTGATAACGCGAATTTGCTCTAACGCGATTTATGAATTAGGAACGATATTTGTATAACGCGAACGCTTGTTTGCTATTACGCGATTTTTGCTTACTATTTCTCCAATTTTGTGGTATTAATTGTGAATATGGTAAAGAAGAATATCTCCAAGAAGCGTTCTGGTGATAGAATTCCCGGTGATGATCGTAAAAGAAAGGATATAACACTTGAAGAGAAGCTCGATGTTATCAACCTCAAAATCACCCTTCTCCCCCATCAAGTTACATTCATATTTTTTCAAGGTAAAGTGTTACATTTACTGTATGATTTCATTATTAGATATGAATGTAACATTTATTTAGACTGTGCTATCCTTTGTGTTAGGCTAACTACTAAATTTTTTCGATTTCGAGTAATCTGCACCTAACCCTATTTTCTCCATAAGCCCTGTTATTTCTATTACGCGATTTTCTATAACACGATATTTTACAAGAACACAATTATCGCGTTATTGCAGAACTACCTGTATATGTGGCAAGAGTCAACAAGTTAAAAATAGCACTTATGGTTGGATACACAGAAGACAGTTACTTCCTCACTGTTACCATCTCAGAGAATATGTTCTTATTCATTGGCTTTATCCACTATATTATCAATTATTTTACAAATTACAAAGACAATAAAAATTTTCATACAACTACCAGTAGATAAACACTAATCCTTCAATGGGAGGCTAAGAGTTACAGATTTTGACTTCAAGTTCCTGGTGGCATCAGGGCTCATATAGCCAACCAACCATCACAGTACTTAACATTATAACTTTGGTGTATAAGCCTAGGACTGACTTTGAAGGATATTTCTGAGGAAAAATGCATCTTATACACCAGCAAATACAATAATAGCAAAGTTAATACTGTAGCAATTGTGCATAGACTTTTAGGTGTGTAACCAATTACCAAACACTGACATAACCTACAGGGACACTACTTTTTCCATTTTATTTGGCTATTGCCAGACAATTTTATTCAGCAGAGAGGAGACTCAATACACAAGTGGTTAATTCTTCATAAAACAATGCCGGTTGTCATACATAGCACTTACACAACAGAAGCAAATTAGGTTGGTAATAGTAAGGTTAATAGTATTTTAAATAAACAATAATACAGTATATGTAGCTGCCAGCCAATCACTGACATAGTTTAGTCTGTCACAAGTAAAAAAATTTTAGTATGATATTGTATGTTTTAACCTTTTTTTCATCTATTCTACATGTGGTCGGTAGTAACAGTGTGGGATGAGTTGGCAAGTTGCACTTGGTCTTGAATATAATAAGGAGATGGCACTACTGACCCATACTGTAGTATGGTACCCATGGGTCCCATAGGCATGACTGCCCATTATGGACAGTGTAGATACAGCACACAGTATACTAGGCCTTCGGTACACAAAGGCAGTATGGTTGGTACTGCACTCGACCACATTCACTTTCCCAAGTTTTAAACTTAGGTACCCATTTACAGCTGGGTGAACTAAGAGTGTCCAGGGATCGAACCACCGACCCCTAGAACAGGAGCCGAGGGCTGTATCCACTCGATCGCCTCACTCCAGAGGTAAATATTAAGCTGTTCTAAATGTCTAGTGTTTCTGGAAGTGCATTAGTGAAGTTTTAGCCTCCAAGAGCACAAATTTCATTAATATGGAGTTTTTAACCCCCATGTTGACTGTATTCCAACTGCTTTCTTAAATCCTGGACAGACAATTGCTTTTTGCCAATATAGTGGGACCTTCTCTTGGTTCCAACCAAGTATAATACATTCAGTGATTTCTGCTTAAAACATTTCTAACAATAGCTCATCATTCACCGGTGTCTTTCAATTTTTCATTTCTTGGAATGCCTTCTCAACTTCCTCATAACTTATTTCCTTTCATGGGTCTTCATTTCTATTCTCATCATCTTACTCTATATCAATATTTTCATGCCCTTCCCCCAAATTTAGTAATGTTTCAAAGTTCTCTTTACATCTTTTGCGCTATATGCTGTACTCAGGTTCAACCAAAAGATTGCTGACCTCTTTACCCAGCACTACAAAACTTGATGTACAATACAGAGTATCTGTGTTTTTCTTTCAATAACTCCTTGCAAGAATCATCACTATCCCCTGGCCATTTTCTTTACTTCTGCAGGATACCTAACTCAAATCTATGTATGCTATCCTCTTTCAATGTTCATGTTCACTGCCATACAGCAACATAATTCTTACAATGGCTACATACATCTTTCCTTTCATACTATGAGAAGGTTCTCTCATCTCACTGTCAATAAAAGCAATGGTTTCTTAAACTTCTTCTCAGTTAGCTAGCTTCAGCACCTCCTCCGATGTTGAGTTTCTCCAGTTTTGCTAAACCCACATGTTTACTTGCACATGTGGCACACTTAAAATCAGCAACATCCTACAGTCTGCCATTTTTACATTGCAGTTTTGCTTGTGAAACCCCCTCCCACACTCACTGTACATTATTGAATTACTGCCAACACCTTCATACAGACATCACATGGCCATTCCCCACTTTCCACCACAGATCCTTCAAGCATGCCACTAATAATTACTTTTTAGTCTCAACACACTCACGAGTAGTACTGTATGCATACCACTGGCCTGAACAATGCCACCCCATATTTAACCAATAATCATATCATAAACCCTAGGCTGGCCCCTCCCACCCAGAAATAACCCTTAAAAATAAGAGACTGAACTATAGTCATGTCAGATTGGTTACCCATGATACCAGGTAAGTAGGTTCTCATAAAGCACCTCATTGATACTCTCTCATTACATGTATAAATATCTCTAAAACAATGTAAGAGATCAATCACTCTTACCTTATACAACACCAGTTACTGCATGGTTCAATTTAACCTCAGTGTCAATGAAGCTTCAACATATATTATTCTAAATATACGAGGAATTGGACTGATACATCTTTTCTTAGGGAGGCTGACAAATGGATAGAGGGGCTGTTACTGCAGGAGAAAGAATGAACTGCTCAGTGTCATGATTTATTACACACCCAAGTCTTAAGGCAAACTATGACCTCTAATCTTTAATTCTGAGTAATGTTTATCAAAAGAGTGAGTGATCTTCGTGTAACTATCAGTCACCTAAAAACCTGAGTAGGGATATTTACAAGATGTTCCAAACTGAGGTAATGATATATATCTAAAAAATATCAAAATGAGAGGGAAACTGGGATGTACCGACCTACTCCAATAATCCGCAAAAGTACCGAATATGTCCTGGCAAGAAAACCTTAGAAACAAAATACACAAAACATGCAGGAATATTTAAATAAGCTTGGGAAATAAGTAGAAGGACATGTAAGGGGAGGGAGCGAGGGAAGCACCTTATAAGAGACTAAATAAAAACATGAAGGTGGTGAAAGACATGTGCCAATATACATACTTGTTCCACCTCATTGTAAATTGAATACAAAATCACTTGAAATTTACAACTACAAATAATATCACTGCTCTATATTAACTTCCATTTTATTCACCATTACATGAAGAAAAAATACTTAAATAAATATACTGTATGTCTGACAGAAATAATTTTGACGATATTTCAAGTTGTTTTTAAGTACTTGTCAAATCCTTCTATACTAGATGAATGTTTCTCAGGCAAATGTGTGAAATTAAACAATAAGACAATGTTAACCAAAATAAATGGGGGGTTGAGATGGATAACTCTCTGTTGCTAGATGACAGAGTTCAACAAAGTACTGTACAAGCATAACAGGATATCTTTTTAAGCACTAATTTACATGGTATCTTTTTTACCACAAATCTACATGATATATTCTTACCACAAATCTACAGGATATATTCTTACCACAAATCTACAGGATATCTTTCTTACCACAAATCTACAGGATATATTTTTACCACAAGTCTACCAAGAAAATGTAATGGCTATGTTGAAAAGAATGACAAAAAAAACACTAGGCAAACCATACACATTTTGTAAACATGGCACTAATGGCACCAATCAAAACTTCTGAATCTTTAATCAAATGAAAACTGGACTTAGATAAATATGTCAATGCAGTACAGGAACAAAATAATTAATTCTAAATGTTAAGTAAATTAATCTTAATACTTTCAATAGTATGTTATCAATTTTACTCAAAAAAATTATTCCTCTTGTACTCAACAAATAAAGTCTCATGAGATTTATACTGTGTCCTATCTATCTCTGAGGATAGTATTAAACATTTAAAAAAGTTAAATACACATCAAATTACAATGAACTATCAAATTTCCTCAATAAAAATAAATGCAATGCCACAGAGATGTTACATATATACAGTATATTGATTTGACAGCATTATGAGAAGGAACGTAACACAGCTCGCCTCTCTTATCTTATCACATCCTCCCCACAAAGTACTCAGCCTTAAAGCTCATCCGTAATGAACTTCAAGAGGAATTTCACCCCTAACGTAGACGATTTTTTTCTTATGTTTTGTTGGAAAATGTTAAGTCTCTGTGCTCAGTACCAGTCTGATATAGGAAGCATTACCTGTACTACCATAACGTGCAACTGGTCTCCAATAAAGAATTCGTGCAGCTGGTCTCCAATATAGAATTATAAAGAGGTATGAAAATCTTACTATAGTTTTAGATAACATTTGTTTGTTATATAGATACAGGAGCTATAATTCACTCAGTTAAAAGACTTAAGTACTGTAACTAGCCCTTGTTCACTTCTAATGTAAATGAGCAGTCAAAATAACAGTACATGACCACAATTAAAAACAATACTGTCAAGTATGTCCTCAGATTCCTCTCCTGACTCTTAAAAGTGCCAAGGTCCCATAAATAAGGCGAGTATAAACCCTTTATTATGACAGACAAATGAACCTACCAAACCCCAGTTAGGTTGGTTTGTGTTGTCTGTTGGAGTGCATACAGGACATAGTCTATACTCAGCTCATTTACAAGACCAGAATACTTTTACTTATCCTTATTTGTGCAATGTTTGGACAAGATGAAGTGGTTTTTTTACGTAATTTCTGAAACTAAATTCTACTTATTATATATGCCTTACTACACTGAAAGTTTATAATTCACCACACAAACCACAATATCGCTCCCATTTCACCACACACTTATCTCAACTTCTCTATGTACCTACAGTATTAACTTTTATTTATTTTATCTTGTTTTTGTTATTTAAACAATTTGGCAATAGACAAATGTTAAAATCTAATTGTAATTCAAAATTCAGCTATGAAGGATGGCAGAGTTGGGTCAAAACACTATATTCTACAATACAGTACAGGTACAGGGTATATAAAAAACATATACAGGTATTCGTTTGCAGCTAAATCATATATAGTACAGTAAAAAAACTATGAACATTGGTAAAGTAAAATACTATACTGTGCTGTATCTCCATTAGGTGTGGGGGGAAATTCAGAAACTCTAAATAAATTGCAAACCTCAATTTTCATGCAAGGTCTACCACTCCAGCCACCATGCACTGTCTGCTGACAGATGTAAAACCACTACACTGTACTGAACCCCAAACCTGTTGATGAGATAATAAAACCATACTTTTAAATTAGGAAACTAGATTTTTCTAACACTGTACTCTGTTATTGATACAGTATATTAGTTATAACTAGAATTATTACATCAATATCTCCTAAGTTTTGAAGAATTTTTGGATAAGAAATTTTTGCAGTCTGTAGACATTGAAACAGCCTGCAAGAATGTAATTGCCATTCAATGGAAAAATGTCCATCAAAAACAGAACTCCCAGAGTGATTCTAATATCTTTTATAACGTAACACCTTAACCGTAACTAAGCATCTGCACCATCATTCAACATTCTAGCAACATGCTTTCCAACATCAAGCACATCCCTATGACTTTTCCCCTTCAGAAGCGACCTAGGCGACCACTTGTATACAGGGAGCAGCAGAGGCATTGTCCACAAATACAATAGGTACCCCCACAAATATTTTCGCCCATGTATCAGAGAAAGAAAAAAGAGGAATTACAAATTAATCTGGAGGAGTTGTAAGGAGAGGAATCACTTCTCTTTCATTGAGATTCCTTTGGAGAATTAAAATCTACAACCAAAACAATGCCTGCCCAACCGTAGCTCTCATCTAACTAGTCTGCATGTCTCCACTTCACCACATAGCAAAGTCTCTGTGGTAAAGGAACAATGTACATTCTTATTCTAGGGCTTCAGTCTGGTTATAGGGTGTGAGTTCTCCAAACAAAAATTAACCTTCTCTGGAAGAAGCTTAACAACTCATTCAATTTCCTTTTGAATCTAATCACCTAAATCCCTGACAAGGTAAAAGCCTAACATATTTATTCACCAAGATACCTGCCCAGAGAAGAATACTTATCATTAACTAAGTACTGTACAGAGTATCCCAAATTCCCAAAGCAGTCGTCCCAAGATACGATAGTTCAACCAGCCAATCACGACAGATGGCACAGAGGATCCTTTATGGATCAAATCCCAAATTACCCGGGTACTCCTGATAGTTTCGTGCAAATCCCTCAACGATTATAAACTAGAATTATCTCTCACCCAAACATTAGTTAATTGTCCTCAAATTTCTATTCGGAGGAAAGTGCCAAAAAAGTTCTTCAAAGCTAGAGACACAGCTCACTTCCATACCCTCCTGAGAAAAGAGGGGAGGCCTGATATTGTATATCTGGCTTAAAAGAAATACAGTACACAGTACAGTACAAAGGCCAAAAACTGGAAACCTTAGGAAATTAGAATTGCTGGTTTCTGGATTTTCCCAGTTTCTGGACAATACAGGCAGTTGCTGAGTTACGACCGTCCGACTTGGAATCATGCACACTTACGAACGGGATCCCAATACATTCATCACAAAATTGTTTAATGAAAATCCCATTTTTTACATTACTTACATTATTCTATATTGTTTAACATCACTTTATTATCAGTACAGGTATTTACAATATTTGTTATGTATGGGATATTACTGTTATTTTGTATGGGCAGGGATGTGCTTTAACCTAACAAAAACTATGGAATTAACACTGTTCTCACAAACAAACTGACTTACAATCAGGGTCCAGGAACATATCCCTCTCATAAGTCGGGGACTGCCTGTACATATACTAATGAGAAAATAAATGCATTAAGGTGCTTTGAAAAGGAGGAATGAACTATGGATATGACTAGAGCCCTAGGCTCAACGTTTAACATCATTTCAGAAGTTTTCATGTTGATCTGTTCAATTTTTTCAGCTTAGTTTGGGGGAAATCTCAACATTTGAAATTATTTTTGATGTTTTCATATTTTTCGTTTTATTTTTTGTTTCACAAAAAAAGAAGAAAAAAAGTCAGTCACAAAAGTGTTTTCTATATATCTTTTTTACATCAATTAAATTAATATAATACAAAGTTTTATGTGTTTTAAATTAAATACAGTAACAACTCCTGAGTCCAGTACTGTATATAAAAAAGTTGTTAAAATAACCCCAACTAATAACATTAAGGCTGTGGTAGTACAGTAGCAGTATGACCGAGATACTGTTGTCTCAACTGTGCCACCTCAACTCCAGGACCTTACCCGCAACTCACCCGAATTTTATCTGATTTCCTTACCCAGATTCCTGCCGCCTCTAAATATTAATAATTTGTTTTTAAACCTTTTTCGCATTACAAAAGGCTGGCCTGTTCAACATGAATACCAGTATTAAAAACAAACAAAAGCACTAAACACTCCTGAACACTGATGAGTCTTCCTGATAACTGGCAGAACAATCGCAGCGTTACTGGTAAATAAAGCGGTGATTCATCTTCATTTTAACACAGATTCGGAACTTTTCTTTAGAAAATACTGTACATGTGTGATAACCTTAGCCTCCCAGAGCTCTTTTATATTAAAGAATTGAGATGGAATGAGAAGGCAAACTAGTTTTTTAATTAAATCTAGTCAACAACGTCTGGTCCTGGAAACCCAAGATTTTCATCCCATAGGCTTGTCTGAATAAACAGTCCGTACTTGAATCACTTGAACCAGGAGTCAGTCTATCAGTTGACAACACTTAATTTGTATCTTTAACAGAGGGATCTAGAGACCTCCACAAACAAAACAACACTGAGAATCAAGAATGAGATAATAACTGTTTTAGACAATCAGACATTGGATGGTATAAAATAAGCTTCTTCATTCATATAATACCTGACACCATCAAAACAATAAAAGTCAGCCATAGTAGAGACCCATGTAGGTGGTGTCAATAAAACAGTTTAATAACATCAGTAGGTAGTTCATAGTACTGAAGAACCTGTAACAATAATATGAAGACAAATCATTGCACTCACCTCTTCCTCTACTGGGTCGGTAAACATCTCTGTCAAGCCAGCATAATCGGCCGTGCTGGCTATGCTTCCATATAATCCAGACATTCGATTCATCTCCATCTCCCTGAATAAAAGACAACAGAAATTAATAACGAATGATTCACACAATTCCTATAATAGCCACGATAGCTTCAAGAATCAAATGAAACCTTTATAAAAAAAAATTAATAAAAAATCACAAGAACATTACTACATAAGTCCCTAAAGTTCCGTAAAATCATCATATATAGTCATAGAAAAATATAAAAATTATGAGCATTACAAGAAATAATAGTACATTTATCTTATGGAAACGAAAACCAAGTCTACCCTAACACAATATAATGAAGCACAACTCATCATGAAAATAGTTTGTTCACCTAACATAGCCTATTTCGGCATGAGAAATAATTGATCTCATTACAGTATTAATGTTGGCTATTACAGTTGAAAATCAATTTGCTTATTTCTGCAGTCATAAAGCTTAAAACTATTGAATGTATGACAAAAAATCACAAAGAAAACATTTTACATAGTGGAAGTAATGCATTTCACGACTAGCACATTCCACCAGACTTGCTCGTGCCTGCTAGACAAGTGCATGACCATTGGGACGCCCTAACATCATGCCTGGCCAGGATGATAAGATGACCAATTACAAGCTAAGACAAGAGAAAGAAGGTGGGGCTATTTGAAATTTCCATAATGAACAGACAATCGTGACAATCGTAAAAATGGTTGATGATTCAACTGATTGGTGGTGAAGATGACTTGTGGTGCAGATGGTTGGTGGTATTGATGGTTAGTGGTCCAAAAGTTTGGTGATAGGAGAGACCACCTAATGACCTAATATTCATAGTGAGGGCAAAACTAAATGATTTTGCTCACAACTCAGACCACATTCACCTGGAGCACATAAAACATTAGCCCCCAGTTCACCAGAACTGAGACAGAATCCTTCAAAGAAGTCATAAATCTGTCTCACAGAAAGGGAACCAGCACTGAGAAATCCAAGGTTCTAAGTTATATTAGACTAAAAAAATCCTCCTCCTATACAATCGCCTTAATGATATCACAGGTGGGGCAGACAAGACACACCAGCAAGCCCTCTTCTGGATTATCACCATACTACCAGTTAAGTTTTGAAAGTGTTCAGTAAACACCTTCCAACAGTCTTGTTATGGTTTTGGCCAGGGTCTCCCATACAGTAACAGCAACTGAAGAGAAGATTCCTCAGTTCTGTGAATGTACCTCAACATCCAAACAATGAACTAACTTCCTTCTGTTAAGTGTCCAGGATTAAGCTGAAGTGTTTCAACACACAGGACCCCTGCACCTTAACTATTATTATATGATCCTTCACCAACTGCCAATTATATGAAAATTGACAGGAACCAGTTGGGATTAGGATCATCTGGTGGATCAGGTATTCCCAAACCATCAGTAAGTACAGGTACAAAGGTCAAGTTAAGACAACCTGAATCATATGCAAGTGAATGAAGAACAGTTGGGTAAAGTGAAAAGAACAAGGGAACCACCTGCTCAACGGAAGGTGTGAGGTGTGCACTCACTGATGTTATGTCATATGTTCATCTAATCCCCCCACTAATGTCCATGAAGGATAACCTGTGCTTCTGTTGTCCCTTTCAGAGCAAGGAGGTTGAATAAATGGAGGCGGCATCCATTGCCTCAAGTGAGGTCATTCACCGTGACTGATGCCTTGACCAATACGGCGGCGCTTCTCACTCAGTAACTTCAATCTCCTTGGTTGATCCCACTATAAATTAAACACTAATATAAATCCTACAGAATTACCTATAACTACCATTTGTTCATGAGTAACTGTGGCAACTGTGACCATGTTACCACCATTCTAGTTTGGATATACTGTACACTAATAGGAAATGTCACTAGCTCGCGATAATATGACATCCTCATGAAAGTAAGTCTATCATCGTGGGAGAGGACCAATGAAACTATCACAATATCCATCGTCCATGGTATCCTATTGTTTCACACCGAGTATAGGTAAACTTTTTTTTACCATGTACTGTATACAGTAGTATGCTAATTGTAAGATCAATCCCAGCCACTATTGTCAGGTCTCCTAGGTCTAGAGACTCTAGAGTCTAGACCATATGTTCAGTGCTAAATTCATACTCAAGCCACTTAGTGGAGGGCAGCTAGGTATAAAAACAATGTTCAACCACACAATTCATTAAAGGAGCCCTAACTCTCCACTTCAGGATACAGTATGCTTACTACTATAATCTAGCACCCCTAACCCCTATAATGAGCAGAACATCAGTTCAGTCTTAACACAAATTCAGCAGCATCCTGCAGTGTTCCCACGCTTGTGCATTTTTCCTCCAACCTCCGACTCATTTTCACCATTCTCCACCTCCTTTTCTGAGGGTTGGAAAACTCAGTCCATTTGGATTTCCCCCAGTTAAGCTTGACATATAACCGGGGTCATGTGAAACTCTTTACTAACTCTGATTTTCAATAACTGTTTTGATAACCTTTGTCTTTAACCTGGTACAGTGATATCTCCGTTAGACGGAACAATTGGTGCAGAGCACTTCCGGGAATGAGAGATTTCCGGGTAACGAGACGATTCTCTCAAAGCCGGAAAAAATCTCCCATCCCGGAAATTTCCGGGTAATGGAAAAAATGTTCTCAGAAGTTCCAGATATTCCCCATTACATCATCTCTCACACCCAGAAAAATATCCCCACCTGGTAATTTCCAGGCACCGGAAAAATTTTATCGGAATTTCCAGAAAATGTGCCCGATTATCATCTTTCAAACCCGGAAAAAATCTAGCCCTTCCCCAGAAATTTCCAGGTATCAGGAAAATTTTATTGGAATTTTCCGGAAAATTCAGAATTTGGGAAAAATTTTCCGAGAAAATTTCAATTCCGGCTATCGGAGAGTTCCAGGCTAGAGGGATTCCCGCTAACGGAGATATTACTATAATTGGTAAACAATAAGGACTATGGTGAATATTAAAGGTTTAATTACTATGTACCTGAAGATTACTAAACTGTCCTTTGAATCTTGTTTACTTACACATATACCATATTTATTGTTATGGTTTGAAGCCGGAGATGGACATACAGTACACGAGATATGTGCGTATTGGTCTGTTTTCAGACGCAATAAATCTGGTCGGAGGAAACATGCACATATGTAATAGACCCTCAAGTCATCAACATACAACTACTCTCACAACAGCGTCTCCAACACCAAGATATTCAGAAAGAGGTTCACAACAGACCTTTCAAGGACACTAACTTTCACCTCAAATTCCCCATTTTCCTCACCATTTACACTCACACAGGTTACTGAGCCATCATAAAATGCCATAACCAACCATACAAGACATATCTTCACATCTAATAATCTCACTGCCTACTGTTCTACCTCATGAGTTACCCTATTCAATGCCTCCTCCACGTTTACAAACACAAACTACACCTTTCTCCCCTTCCTTGTAGTCACCTGGCTATAAATATTACCTCTGTAATACCCATGCCTGGCAAAATCCTCAACCACATTCATGTGCCTCACCTAATTCTCTTTAAGTACGTTAGCCGGAATCTCTCAAACCCGGAACTCTCCAATAGCCGGATGTGAAATTTTCTCGGAAAATCGTTCTCAAAGCCGGAATTTTCCAGAAAATTACGGATTTGAGAACAATTTTCCGAATGGCACATTTTCTGGAAAATTCCAGGGATGAGGGATTTTATCCCACTTTGAGAGATGAAATAATGCATAATTCTGTAACTTCCGAGAACATTTTTCCTGTTATCAGGTAAATTCCGAAGTTGAAATTTTTCCCACTTTGAGAGTCATCTCGTTACTCAGAAATCTCTGTACAGTAATCCCTCGTCAACCACAGGGGTTACATTCTAGAATTTTCCTGTGATTAGCAAGAGCTGGGTCTAATGGGTACAAAGAAGTTAGGGGAAGTGACCCCAGGGAGACAAATTCTGTCAACTGGTTTGATGGTACATCATCCAGTCTACTCTTGATTTTAGCCACCCAGCAGTATAGTGAGAAAACACTACTACAGTATATAGTGGAAGAAAAATAAATCCTGCAAAACACAAGAGAATAACATGGGTCACATTTTACATTCCATATTACCTGTAAAAAAATTAATGGTAAATATGAAGAAAACACATTACAGTACAGTACTGTACTAGGTATACTACATCAGTAACAGGAATCATGTAATAAAGCACAAGTAATGATTAGGGGAGAAAGACTAGCAACACTGTAATACAAAGCTTCAGTAAAATGCAAACTTTACATACCTATTAGAAAGTTTGGGAGATGTGCAGATAAACTGGTTGAGTGTTGATTTATCATAGAACTCCTTGAACGAATTGACAGAATGTAGGGAGTGAATAGAATTGAGGGAGTGTTCTCTGCGGTGGTGGATTCCCCCAACAGCCCCACTTTCCTCATGAGGCGGTGGAGGAACAGGTGGTGGTCCAGTGCTCCCATATATACTCCCAAGAGAGGCAGAGCCACTATAGATGCCTGACGATGGGTGACTGCCACTGTAGATCCCTCCTATACCACTATATATCCCAGAGACCGATGGGGGACTGCTGCCATAAGCAACATGTAGGGTGGCATCAGAGCTGGGTGGAGGAGGTGCAGGAGGAGGAGGAGGCTCATCTGTGTCATGGGAGTCATCCTGACCGGAGTGTTGACTTGATAGCCCTGGGGACGGAGGTTCACTCTGACTCTGACTGGAACCCATAGCTTCTATTGAGGGCTTGGCAGATGAGGTGGATGGTGGACGGGAGGATGGGTTGGTAGCGGGTTGTGGCGGAGGAGTGTGGGTGAGGATGGGTGTCTTAGGAGAGTTTGGAGGAGTATGTGCTAGGTTGGGCACATTTGCAGAAGCCTCAGGACTAGCAGCACCATCACTGCGGTCTATACTGGGAATGCTGTGCAGGGAAAGCCGGTCAGCCAGGGAGGCTACATCATCTTTGGTGCTGGGTGGCGTTTCATCTTTGGATTCACTAGGAACCTGGGGTTCTGGCGACTGTCTTGTGTCTGCTGCAATATACAGGGCTACATTAATAAAGCGTAAGCATATTACACGACGCACTACATCCATCAAAACAAGAATTAAGGAGGCATTACATACAATACAGTACATATCCAGCATAGTCATGATATAGCAATAATAACTAAGAAATTAATCAAATAAATACAGTAATTTAAGCATAATCTATCTCTTAATATCAAGCACAGCCAAGATTGTTGCTGCTGTGTTTTAATAATTATCAAATTATTATACAGTATACAAATTAATTCTTCAACCTCAAAAATATCTGATTCTAAATAATATTACTCAACTGTCAATACTTAACTACTGTACTTAACTCCATTAAATCTTTATCATAACCATAACTTACAAGGAATCCTGAAACCTAAACATACTGTAGATGGCATAGTGAAGGCATTTTTTTCTTTTCATTTAAATCATTTTTTTCCTTATTGTTATTGATTCTAAAAATAATAATAATAATAAATAAGCCACTCAAATATATCTTACGGACCACTAACTTGCTTATGACTTTGATGGACTGTAGAGTATTGACACATTCCAGTCACTGAACACATTTTAGAATATTTAACGTTACGACAGTCTTTTCAATTATCTATCAGGACAAAGTTCAGCACAGACCAAAGGAAGGCACCTAGTCATGTTGTGAAAATGTCAGTAATAGTGTGGAATGAAGTTGAGGATCCCAACTTTGCTAAACAAGATGATCAAAATATGAGTCTGGCTAAATGAAAGGAATAGTAATGAGGCATGTGGTAAAACCTAATTGCAGGAGGAGAAAGATCCATTAGGAATCTGTTGAAATAAATTAAGAGGGAGTAATTCGTTTTCTTAGAATGAGCGAGTTGGGTGGGACCTGGTTTGAAAATGCTAACTAAGGGCAAGGCTTGAAGACGTAGGAGTAATATTCGACAAAAGTGAAAGACATGGAAAAAGAAAATTATCAAGTGTATGAGCATAATGTTTAGTGATCCATTACAGCACTGGCTACTCAATAATTCTGAAGATTTTTACTTATACTGTACTGTATATGCAGTTGAGAAAAGAGTTAAGGTTAACATCTGGTAATAGTGTGTTTTTATTTTATTGTTGTTTTGGGTTAGCACACTTGTTATAGGAAGCATCTAATTATCCAAACCACATTATTTTTTGTAAAGAAGGATACACTAAAAATTTTTCTTATGAAACAGATACAGTATACACCTGTTCAAAAGACAATGCATGATAGAGATTCTACTGAAACAAACTAATCCGAGGGCACATCGTAGTGTGCACGATGACTCACTAGATTTTCAAAGTACAAGCAGATCTGGGTTAGTGACTCCTCCAGCCACCTTATTTCACCTGGTCAAGTACAATAGGTGTTTATGCAATAACTAATGCTGATATGAAAGGACAGAGTCCTCACCAAGAGGTACTCAGACAGGGTAATCTCACTGGTCACTTGTTGTATGACCAGTACTGTACTGAAGTCTGCAAAAAAAAATTAACAAATACCTATTTCGATCTACACACTACATACAGCTTCAGGTAGCTCGGCCCAAGGGAAGAAGGGATAAGTTTAATCTGGAAATTTAATATGACATGTTTCTAAGCAACACACTGTTAGTTCAATTACACAACCATGATTAAACTGGACCTTGATAGCTGTAAACACTGGCAATTACTCCCATAACTTGATGCTTTACTGAAAAATAAATATAAATAATTGTAAATAATTTCTAAAACATCATCCCCTTGCATAGGTATTAAAGTGACATAATTTATAATGTCCTGTACTAGATTAGTTTCAAAGTTATAGGAACAAAATGGACAAGTTTTGAATTACCCAACATTGATGAGAACTCAGCTCTAATAATGGGGTCAGCTAAATGTTAATGGAATAAAATACTGTACAGTACATAAATAAATGAACAATAAATCATCAACTTGTACCTACAGGGTATTGTACAAATGACAATTCTCGTACAATGAAGGGACAAAATATTTCAGATGCCTAAAATACTCTAATTAATAACTGAAACATTAACACTATTACTGGAAGGCTTTTATATGAAATCTGTACAATACAGTAATGTATCAATTATCCAAGTCTCCAAACTTTTGAAATCACTGGAACTCTAGCTAATTTAATTTCTGTATTTTCAGACAAGAATTTAGAAAGGTCAAATGGAGGAGGGACAAGGAAGGTGATCATCGCCCCACACAGGGATGTTATTACTGGTGTCTGTGGAGTCTTGGCTACAGCCTTTTAAACACTAAGATAAAGGAAAAGAAGTAAATAAATGAGGAACACCGATACTCTTCATGTACAGTAAGTAGTTACCAGTACTGTACTGTCATACCTTCTAAGAATGTAACTGAAGACTGTATCATCTTCTATTCTTCTTTACCCACCTACAGCATATTGTATTATCATTAATTATTATATCAACCTGTTTCATAATGTCTCCCATGAATTATATAATTTTCTTATAATCACACTTTCAACATACCACATATACTGCACTAAGTTAAATGTCAATCTACATACGACATATTACGGGGGAAGATCTTGGTCAGAAAATTTTAGAGCTAACGACTGACCCTTGCGGAAATCAGCTATGATATACAGTAGATCCAAAAATAAGAATAAAACTTAGAAGAAGTCTCATTGACACAAGCAGTTAATCTTGGGGAGTTAGCAATTACTGATCAATGAGATAAATTTAGAACAGGTAAAGTCACGGTCAAATAATGCTCCGGGAATACACCCAAAAGTAGTTTCTTGGATATCAGCAAAAGATTTCATATTTTTTAGTTCATCAATAATACATCAAGTGAGATTACCAACGTGTAGCAACGGTAGTATACAGCATCTTTACATGGTGCCCTAATAGACCATCAGGAGCAACGGTGGGAATGTGGGACGATCATTACATATACTACACGCAGTCTCCTACTTACAAACGAGTTACGTTCCTGGACCCCGTTCATAGGTTAATTTGTTTGCAAGTTGAATTTTACTTTCTAAAGGTCATAAAATATGAAACAAAAAATAAATATGAACATTGCTCCCTGAAGAGGTTTTATTGCAAATTAAAATATTTCTTTTCACCTGTAAATGCTGTACTATAAAGTCGAGTAACATACATTATTACGAAATATTGAGAGACACTTCGCAATCAGGCATACAAAACATTCTTAGATGACACGAGCCATAGTGCTCATTCGGAAATCTGTCGTGTCCAGCTGTTCAAGAACTTTTTGTGCCGCGGGTACAAGTTGCAGCGAACACACTCCGGCCTCCACCGCAGCACACCAAAATTGTACGGACAATCCCCAGGTTACAGATGACTTGGGTTACGGATTTCCGACTTTACAGATACTCTCCCATAAGTCTCATTGAAAAAATTTTTGGGTTGCGGACGAGTATCCATTGTTACAGACATCAAGTACTGTAGTGTGGCGTAATGACACTGCATATGGAAGAGATGCTATTACTGTATACAGTACAGAATATAATTTTTAATTTAAAAAAAAGTATTGTATCATTTAAGTATGGTAACTGTCTACAGTATATTATGTGTACCAGTACCACATGTGTTCAATAATTACCTATGGAAGGGTCACTTCCATCTTACAGATAGCCTCCAGGAACAGTTTCATCCATAACCCGGGGAGTGTCTGTAGCCCTGGACTCAAAACTTGGATTATACTGTACTGTACTTGTCAGGATTTTTAATTTATTTTAACGGTATATTGTTCATAAGTCTGAAGATTCATAAGCAGGAGACTGTCTGTATTGTACCAATTTGAAATATTTGTGCTTATTTCTATATGAAGACATCATCTGTTTCAAATTTTCCATTTCAAGGGGCATGGTTGTAACAGGAGAGTACAGTATTGCTAATTGCTTTAATTCATACAGTACCACCTATTCTTAACTTACCTATAGGATAGTTAACTACCAAGAGATCAACCCTAGCTGGCATAATGGGAGGTTGTCTTAGTGCAAGCAACCCCACAGTAAGCAGCTTTAATCATTAATCCTGCCTGGCTAAATGGCATGGGCCAACAAGGAAACAAAATTATCACAAATTACAGGAATAACACCATCTCAATGCTTAATACCTACAAGTAATAACAATTCAATAACCCCTGCCAAATAACACAGTATGGTTCAGAACTCAAAACTGCTGAAAAAGAAACATTTTCAAGATTATGATCGCTATATAAAGTGCATCATTCATGGGAAGTGTAAGATTGTTGATGCAAAATTTCAAAGCAGTTCAATGTGCCCTCTCTGAGAAAAACTAGTTCACAGGTGGACATGCAGACAGCACCTATAGTACCATATCCTCCTTTAAACTGAAGCACCAAGCAGGGGATAAGACGTTGCACTTTGTAATGCAAATTATGATAAGAAATGGTTGATACAACTTCAGTACAATAATGTGTAATTCAACACAATATTAACGACATTAATTCAGAAGAAAAATGTGCCCAACAACCCAGAAATACCACAATATTCTCACTGTGGGTCGGGACTTTCTTTGACAAGTTGAAATTGTATAAGAAACTTGACTTTTTGCAAAATTTTAGTTTCTACCCTAAAAATAATACTGTACAACTATGAATGATGTCATATTGAAGTTGGAAACAGAGTACGTAATGTACTGTACTCTACTGTATACTGTATGGTAGTAATTTACCTACATTTAACTATAAGTCATCACCAGATAACACTTTTTTCTTTCCTTTTAAATTATTCAAAGTATATTCTTTTCTAAAGTGGAAAGTGTATATCAGATCACCGTACTTGCATTCAGTTTATAAATGTGTACACTGTAAGTATTAACTTATAACAAGTATATCATGGTGTCTTATATTTGATAATTACCCGACGCCTTAACAAAAAATTATATTTCTAATGAATTATTGTACTAAATCACAAACTTACGGCCAAGAAACTAAAATCCCCCATGATATTTTACCATTGCAATGCTATTCAGTATTGCTTTTATCCCCTGCCCAAGTCTTTCAATCCAGAGGAGTATTTAAGATTAGATGGTGCTTGTGATTTAATTACAGATTTCTTAACTTAGACATAACCACTTATAAACAATTAGGTAAGGTGAAATTGATGATCATTAACCAACCTTATACATACCAACTTCAAACTATTTTTTTTTATAGTAAAGTATTTACAATAGCAATAAATGAACATCCAACACCAGGTACAAACACATTTTCTAAGTTATAATCAAAGAATATGGCTACTGTACTGTATATCTCTGAAAAGGGTCTAAGAGGTACAGTACATACATACATAAGAGGAGATTTATATACAGCAGTCCTCAGACATCATTAATATTATTATGCATTACCAGTTTAGTACATGGGAGTGTCTTTTAGAATGTAACACACAGTCTTTTATATTTATTTCCCTCTCATAAGGTAAAGTAAATAAATTATACCCAAAGATGATATATATTACCCAAGCAAAATACCATATCATAATTATATTTATGATTATAACCCACAGCTTTTAAGTGTTTTGAAACCATATCAGACATCCTGCAACTGCCCAACTGTGAGGATTCATGTTCCATCAATATTCACAGTAAGAAAAAAATTATTTTGCAAGAACTAGCTAAGTGCACTTCTTAAAAAGGCTTCCATTTCTTATTGCCACATTTTCAGTGATAAGTCATGTTACATCCTTGTTGTGGTACAGTACAAGACATTATTTACGGGCAGTAGTTATAGCTCCATGAACAGAGTCCTACACCCTTATATGAAGACCAAACGCTGGGCCGTGCTGAGGTATACAGCTTAGTCAACGCTTTGTCTGTCATCTTGGCATCTGTCCCCAGTCCTTGATTTTGTAACACAGAAACTAATTGTCTTTAACCTAACCTTGTCATTGCTAATTTTGAGATTCATTTACAATTCCATTTAAAATATACACAGCAAAATCCTATAAAGAAACTTGTGACTAGCAAATGACATGATGGCAGGCAAAGCATCAACACTACCCTAACCCGAGGGATGACTCAGTGTTAAGGCTCCATCAATAGAGCTTAAACCACTTTATTATCTATAAATATGTACAGTCTCCTCTGTAATTTATTTATGATAAATAATTTGGGAATTTGCGACGATATAAAAAATAACCTCATCACTGGAAGACACTATGTCATGCATTTAGTCACAACTCACCACTAACAAGGTTTATCTATAGGCAGTCTAAACAAGATGACTACAGTACTGTACTTACAAAACAGCTTGATTACTAACCACTGAACTGAAGTTGTTTATCCAAAACAGCAATCAGCGATCAATGATGAGTAATATGCAAAAATTAAACTTTTTAGTTTAAAAATTCTTCATTGGGTATCAAAGATTATTATATTCCCTTACTTTTCAAAAATAAAATAACGTATAAAACAGCCACTACCACCACGGGTAACATCTAAGGACAAGGGTCCAGGTCGTCTAGCAACTAACAAAAATTTCCTACCTCAAGACTAAAATAATTTGAGTGGAGGAATACTGGTAGCACTTTTCGTACTCAGATTTTCTCGTAATAAAGACACTGCTGTCACCCATCCGCTTCAAAACAACACCATGTTTGCACGTGCCAAATACTGCACAGCAACCAGCTGACTGATCGACCATGAGCATTTCCCAGCCAGCAAATGACCAACAAACTTTCCTTCCTTCCTTTCCATACAAACCTAACCTACTTAACCTATTTTAAAATAAAATTAATAATAATAACCATAAACTTTCATCCCAGGATAGATACATTAGGAAGGGTTTGTTGGATCATTTCATCAATGATAAATTATTATATATAATTTATCATAGCAACATTCACTGCAAGTGATCGTGTGTATGGAATGAGCAACAATGATGTGACTGCTGTTGGGAAGCTGCCTCTGCACTCGTATGTACTAGTACTGCCAAACGAAGAATACCTGTACCTGTGTTATTACAAAAATTGCAAATCCTGCTATCATTAATTATTGTCCTTTTTTGGGGATATTATTATTCTCCATAATGTAAGAATGAATAATTTATCATCTATATAAAATTTTCTAAAGTTGCTGCTACTGTTGTTTCTCATAGAACACGAAACAGAACAGCATTATTATTAATGTCACATAAACAAAGATGATATCGTCCTCCTTGTGCGGACAGGTCGCAGCTACATCTATGTTTACAAGAAAAAGTAACTACCGTACAAAACTTGAATATAAAAAGTGCTCTTCCTCTACACAATTTACTATATTCTTGAGGTAATAAATAAATTTTCTTCTATAATATTTTTTGTGAAGTAGCTGGTAACTCACGACTCTTTTCCTTAAATATTACTCAGCCATGTCATATCAAACACTCTTCCACGCCGAGATAACCTGGTGATTGTTATCTTATACAGTCTTATAATAACTACTATTTGTTGAACGGGTATTATGATCAGGTTATATTTCACAAGTAACAAATGGGGTAACTGTCACCTTTATTGGCAGCATTTTATCACCAGTTTTCAAGTAAAAATTTTCACATCCAGGCTCATAACATTGTTCTAGCTCATTATAAAAAGAGAAGATTGATTTTCTCAACACAATTTCATTCTCTCCTATACTGTAGCTTAATCACCCCGCAAGAGACCAGGCCTTTAAAAGTACAGGTCGATGAGTTTTTTCCAAAGGACTCAAGCTACTGTATGAAGGCATATAATTCTTGATGTCTTGGATAGAAGGATGCAGATACTCTTAATAAACTTTACACAATAATTTAGGATTGTGAAAAGCTGCACGAAGACCCAATAGACGTGAATGAAGCACCCTGTATATTTAACCCATAACTATACTCGAACCGCTCTAACTCAACAAGTTCAGGTATTTATCTTAAGTTTCCGAATTTTTTAATTTAGTCATGATAGGATTATTTTCAACAACTCAATTGGGTAATTCGGACAATATAATTACATAAAAATACAAACCAACTCTTCATTTTGTCTCAAACATGACTGTCAATGAATTAAAACTGGGAAATATTTTTGTTAATATCAGATCTATATAATCTTTGTATTACTAACTATTAATACCTGAAGTGTGACTTGCATATTTTGCGTGTACGACTGCCAAGTAATTTTTTTTATCACCAATTATGTCAAATTTAAAAAGTTTAACCAATTTATCTTCTAACACTCCTTTTTGCATTTGTTCTTTCACTCGAGTTACATTTTATACGTTAAAACTAATGTATCAGTAAAGATCAAATTAAAAAAAAAAAAAGGACCAGACGTGAAATATACCTTTACCATAAATTTATTCAATATTTTCCTTTAATGTAAAATGTATTATTAACACTGAGCTGCATCCAGCAACTTTAAGTCTTAAGTCCTGGTCAGTAATTTTTTCAAACTATAATAATAAATAATAATAATGGCACACAACCTGTTACCTGTGATACAAGATGATTAAAGTAACATTTCTTACATCACTTTTCATACAGAATTTAGTTACAGCTTAAAACTCAATAAGGAACAAATAGTTAACAGTGGCTTATCATGTTATACAATAAGACCCTTATGTCAACCTTCTCGGGAATAAATCTGAGTGAAATAATTCTATATGAACCTCCTATCATTACTCTCCCTCACCTGAATGGATCAGTACACCTACATCCCTAACTACCATCCTAACTAGGGCGGTCCTGATTGATGAACCAGACCCGCTAAGTACCTGATTGACAGCACAGATGGCAGGAGGTACATTGACAGTCCTCACCTGGTACTGACAACGAGAAACAACAAGTATAAAACAGGTACTCACTGTTGTCCATCTTTGGTAGAGTTAGTAGGGGGCAGGAGCCAGAGAAATCACAAGACGAGGGGACAATGATGATGCGGGCGGTCAATTGTCATTTCCCGTTGCTGATCGCCCTCCCTAACTCTTCACTGATTTCTGTACATTCATCCCCGAAAAACCAACTTTTATTTTTCTTCTATGTATGCAAGGAGTATTTAAAAGGTGAATTTTAGTGTCGACATACTGTAAATGGTGGTTAATACTAGTAAGTTATCGATTATTCCACAAACATCTTCTAACGGGACCTTCTGACTCTCTTCTTAACCATTAATTTTGTTTGGATTGAATTTCTTAAGAGATACTGATATAACACAATATATTTTTTTTTCTTGTTAGTATATTTATTACATTTTATAAATATTAATAATATTATTTTGTATTATAAGATTAAAATTAACTAGAAATAGGAAAAAGAGAATAGTTATTTTCTCTTGTGGGAAATGCGCGTGGCAAGAGGTGCGCGTTGGGTTACCAGGGGTCAACGGGGGATGACAGGTCACTACTTTATTCCTCGTTTCCTCTTTATATATTCATCCCACAATAAACTACATTCCATATAATAAACATATCTTATCAATATATACATAAATAATGATGGTATATAAATTTTAAAGCTTAATAATATCTTATTTTATTCATAAATTGGAAACAAATTGTGGAAGTCATCGCAAGTGAACATTGTTTTTAATAATCCACGTAAGTTAATTGACACCTTTATTAATATATATCATATATATAGTGACATCCTAATATTAAAAAAAATATATATATAATGTTAATGTTTACTACTGCTCAAGAGCCAATTAGTAGCGCTGTTAATGAATTACTTCCATATAAAAATACTCCAATTTAAATCATATTAATTAAATGATTATGCTAACAACATACCATATCAGTTAGTATTACTCTAAAGCGTTTATTTAGGAAACAATTAGACCAACTATCAACACCACATTCACCCTTCAGACATATCACTGTGTGGAGAGGACACTTATTACCTTAACAAGTATAACTAACATAGAGAATACATGATGGGAAATAGGCAAAATACATAATATTCATGAAAATAAAAATAGAGAAAAGGTGATAATTACAAGATATGTTTCCAGAATAACGTAAAGTGTGGTAGGTAGTCAGGTTTAATTACCACACTAATTTATGAACCTTTTGTGTACTCCATATTTCTAAAAACTGAAACCAGATTTTTTTCTCAATAACTAATCCATGACATATGCATCATTTATGGCTATTATTATCTACCATAAAAAAAAATCACATATACATTTCTTCTGGTCTAGCATAGTGACCAAACGATGCAATTGTCACTAGGATAATTTAAATATCTTTTAGCAGGAAACATACCAAGAAAATTACCGTACTTTTTTGTACTTTATTCCAATTACTGTACCTCTGTTTTTGTATTATGTATAAGGATATGCATTAAATAATTTTATAGTTATTTTGTTGTATTTTTATCAATTCCTTTAATCTCTCTACGATCGTGTTTCCAGGTAGTGCTAGTCAATCTCCTCACTGCCTATATGAACATTATATAACGGCGCCTATAATCAGAAAAGATATATAACCACAATGAAATTACTTTACAAATCTAAAAAAATCAAATTCCGTATAAACCGATATACCGGCTTATTTATGGGTATTTATCATATATTATCGGCAAGAATTACGCTATTGAATAGATTCTAGTTCCTTAATTTTATATAATAAATTAATCAAATTTTAGTTGTTTTCATAATGGCTTTGTCGTATTCATTTCTTAGTGATGAAATTATGTGATAGGTGACGTGTACTGTGACGTGTAGTGTTGTGATGTGTACTGTGACGTGTAGTGATGTGTACTGTGACGTGTAGTGTTGTGATGTGTACTGTGACGTGTAGGGTTGTGATGTGTACTGTGACGTGTAGGGTTGTGATGTGTACTGTGACGTGTAGGGTTGTGATGTGTACTGTGACGTGTAGGGTTGTGAACTGTACTGTGACGTGTAGGGTTGTGATGTGTACTGTGACGTGTAGGGTTGTGAACTGTACTGTGACGTGTAGTGTTGTGATGTGTACTGTGACGTGTAGGGTTGTGATGTGTACTGTGACGTGTAGGGTTGTGATGTGTACTGTGACGTGTAGTATTGTGCTGTGTACTATGACGTGTAGTGTTGTGCTGTGTACTATGACGTGTAGTGCTGTGACGTGTGCTATGACGTGTGGTGTTGTGACGTACTATGACGTGTAGTGCTGTGACGTGTACTGTGATATGCAGTGTGATATGTACTGTGACGTGTAGTGTTGTGTACTGTGACGTGTAGGGTTGTGACATGTACTAATATTCTGTCAACAGCTCGTGTGAATCATCTTTATTCACACCCCCTAATTTTATTTTCCTCAATAGAAAGCTAAATTAGGAGCCATTGTCGTTCAAGCTTTACAAACAATAATAATCTCTATTCAACGCGACTCGGGTATAAATATAACACTCGCGCTAACACGGAAAATATATATACCAGTGATTATACTGTAAAATATACCAATATGTAAATTAAACAGTAAAATATATTATTAGGTAAAAAACTTAGTAAAATAAGATGGGATATTTTTTTTCAGTCTGTCTTGGGAGGTATAATTAACACACATATGGGGGTCACTGAGTTATTTCTGTGGCTTAGAAAGTGATGCAAGAAACGCAGAATTAAAATTTACCATTGTCCTTTGTTAGCTTTTAAAATTTGTATAAGTTTCTAAAATACAGAAAATATCAAAAGTTGTGTAAAGGGATGAAAAATAGGAATATACCGTAGAAATTGTCTTTGAGGTTAGGTAATTGTAGTCATTGCCAGTCTTGTTTCACTCATTCTTCAGTCTCGATTGTTCCATGTCACTCCTGACCTTTGACCCAAAAATTATAGAAAAAAGCTTTGAGTCACTGACACTGAACGGGTAGCACAACAGTGAGGACCGTTTGCCAATACTGTACTGAATGTTTTGGCACATGACTGTCCAAACAAAGATTTAAAAAAAAAATAAATAAATTGCAAATAGTTTAGCATTCATCAGTATACGTTTCAAAGATGAATCATAATATAATATAAACCGTATTTGTAAGCGTACAGTATAAAAAAAATTATCCTCGTCTGTTCCTCATCTGTTAACGAAATAATAAAGTTTGGTCCACTAATCACATTGTGCTGAAAACATTGTAAAACGTAGAGAAAAATAGCCAACAATCAGAACACTATGTCATAAAGATGCAGAAGTAGAGAAAATATCATGAGCATCAGGCGACGATTTCAAAGATGTATTTTAGACAAACTTGACGGAGAAAACGAAAATAATATGCTGGTAAAATATCTCCAGCCTTCACATGAGGGGGACTAATGAAGCGGAATTAAGCAAATATAAGGACTTAGGTACGATAACATTATAAGATATTTTACTGTATAATTTAAGAATACCCAGAGTATAAATAAAATAAGTTGTTTATAAAAAATGAGTGACGTTCAAGATGCTAGAACTCAGAAACAAATTACATATTTATCTCCTGGTCATAACAGACACGTGTCAGTAAAACAGCTGCACTAGAACAAGCAATAATATCTCCGACACACTGTCAGCTGGGAATGAAGAGCTTCACCCAGGCACGGTGTGGTCACTAAGGGAGGGAGGGGCGGGGATGGGCGCCTGCTGCTAAATTAGGTGAGTGAGTGACTGACTGCTGGTCTTCCTGTCTTTACTGACCCACTCAAGTACTGGATATATTTATACTTGCTAGCTTTAAGGTGTGTGTGTGTGTGTGTGTGTGTGTGTGTGTGTGTGTGTGTGTGTGTATTGACTAGTGGCACATGTAGGGTTATTTTTGCCAACGCTCCCCCCAGCAGCAGTACAGGCAGCAGCAGTAGTCAACAGCAGCAGTAGAACCTCCAATATTACTGTTCGTAGTAAATAATACACGAGGCAGTGTACCAATGTTACCAGCCCCGCACACACACCTTTACACCCCTCACACACACACCCTTACTCTCACACCCTTACCCTCACACCACAGCCCTCACACCCTTACCCTCACACCACAGCCCTCACACCCTTACACCCCTCACACCACAGGCCTCACACACACACCCCTACTCTCACACCCTACCCTCACACCACACAGCCCCTCACACCCTGGCTCCCCACAGTTACACCCCACACCACAGGCCCCACACCCCACACCCCCTCACACACACACCCCACTCACACCCCACACTCCCCACACCACAGCCCCTCACACCCCACACACCCCCCACACACACACCCCACCTCACACCACAGCCCCACACCCTTACACCCCTCACACACACACACCCCTTACTCCTCACACACACACCCTACCTCTCCTCACACCACAGCCCTCACAATCTCTTACACCCCACACACACGCCAGCAAGACCACACGCAAGGTAACAGCGTGGGTCCCAGGTAACAATCCCCACCAGCTAAGTTCTTTTCTCTCTCTCTCTCTCTCTCTCTCTCTCTCCTTTACACCACTACTTCCCCGCGACACTACCTCTCTGTCTTCATTTACACCCTTCCCTCTTTCTGAGTCTCCCTGGTACCCCCTCCTTCTCCTTGCTCTCCCTGATTCTTGTTCTTTCTCCCTCCCTTTCTCTTGGTCCTCCCCTGCTCCCCTTCCTCTTTTCTTTCCTTTCCCTAGCTATCTCATCCTCTCCTTGCCTCTCCCTTGCATTCCCTCCCTTTCCCCGGTTCTCCCTTGCCCCTCTCTCTCCCTTGTCCTCCCTAGTCCTCCTCCTCCTCCCTCGGGCCTGGCTGGGTGGAGCCGTGGTCCCCGGGCTGCCATAAAGCCAGTTAACGGGAGCTCTGAGCACTTCATGTAGCAGAAGGAATTGCTCGACAAATATAAAACTACAGATTTTACAGATTTCAGGCACAGATTTCAGGCAGATTTCCAGATTTCCAAAACGATGTACAGCAACTATAATGTGGGGTAGTTTTATATTAAGATTAAACCTTTCACTTTTATCAATATATAATAACAGCCTTTATAATACACAGTAATTCAGAATACCTATATATATATATCAGTACACTGTAGTGGTTAAATATATTCACAATAAAAAATAAATATTCAACGCAACACCTGTATTAAGCATCTACAGCCATTTATGACACTTATATTCATGAACTTATATAAAAACAATAGCGATTCGAACCCAAATGGGATATTCATGTAACGCGTAAATAGTTTAAGGGATCAGGCTCCCATTCTCACCCCGATGTTCACACCTGTAAACTGCTTATATAATCTCTGAATTCTACATGGCGTTACCTGAATAGTATTTCCTTAGTGTTTTTAAGGCTGATAAAAAATGTTGTAGAGGCGGGTTTTGTGGCCGAGTTCTGAGATGACTTGTGATAATTCGCACACACAGTCTTTTGCTCGGGCTCTTAAATTTTACTTAATGATCTAATAAGTTTATTTAGGATACTAATAAAAGGGAAAAAAAAATACCGTAAAATAATTTATCTGGAAATGTTGAAGGTTTACGTGTGTTTGTCTCTGCGAGTTGTGTAATACTGTATGAAACAAAAGAGTGTAGCCTAGTGTTGAGTTTCCTTTTCAGTCTGTTAATTCTGTTAGCTATATTATATACGTCAACTTTAATTAAAACCTTCTCTTTAATGGTGTTCAGTAGTGTGTAAATAAACAAGTCAGGTTTCTAGAGAAAGAATCATAATAACACAATATGTAGACAAGTTAAAAAATAAATAAATAAAGCATATTCCTCTAGTTGTGTCCGACAGCAACAGTGTGTTAAGATGTTGTCAGGGACTCAAAGGTGCCACCATACTGTTGATGACCTGAGTGTGGACAACAGACACGAACAGTCCTTCTAGGAACCCACAATCCTTAATGTCAAGTGTGAAGGTTTAAGTTGACCCCGACACAATGTACAGAAATTCACACGAGTCGGAGAGACGTGTACAGTATTTCCTTCAACCTGGACAAACAAACACACACACACACACACACAGGGCTAGAATGACTCTAAACGTGAATGTAGCCATCAACAATATAATCTTATTGCTGAGTGTACGTTGAGGGTGTCTGTGAACGTCGGGAGGATAACACACTGAGAGCTAGAGTGAACATCTCCCTAGGGAAAGCGTAAACGTATGAGGTAAGTTGAAACCGGCAGAGCAAGCGCGAGTGTACAGGACAAATGTGTAAAAAGTGTAGACGCAGATAACTAGTGAATACGTTAAGAGATAATAATAAGAGAGGAAGGAAGCAGGAAGAGAGATGATGACAAATCAAAGCGATAAACACAGCAGACAAAGGAAAGAACTGACACACTAGCCTCGTCTCCCGGCTCACATCAGGGGCCGTCACACACACACACACACACACGAGCAGACATTGAGGCTGCCTGGGAAGCTGGAGGACAGGTT